TCCCGGAAGAGAGATGCCCCTTCAGGGGTTCTGGCAGAAAGTGAATAAGTGGTCCCCTTTTGTGTGCTTCTCTTTTCCTGAAAAACAACCATTTTGTCTCCTTTTAAGTTTATCTTCATGCAAAATTATCATAGGGTCATATTGCTAATCTCAACACTTCTGGTAAATGGTCCCTCTGTCACAGAACACACTCTGCCTAGGCACTAATCCTCACTTTTTGCTGCTCATGGGCCTTTTTCTGACTTTCACACATTCTTAGCAAATGAGTGAAGTTGTCTGTTTTTTTTAATTTTAATCTGTATCAGACTCTTTCTGGAATCTTCCTTCTCATGGGCCCTGTTACTGAAATGAGAGTGTGCTGCTGGCACAGGAAGGGAACATCACCCAGTATCAAGAGGCTGAACTCAGAGAGGGGAGCCACGTTCCCCATGGCAGTTGGGTGAGTGCCTAGGAAAGGCGGGGTGACAACTCTGCACGCAGGCCGAGAGAGGGTTGCAGTGTGTTTTCTGGTTGTAGTGAGGGACCCACTCACCAAGCAAGGACGCACTGACCTTCTGTTGCAGGGCGGCTTGGGAGGCCCACGTGGGACTGGCGGTGGCTGCGAGGTTGTTCCTGGGCTTGCGGCTGTGCCGCAGGTGTGGGTAGAGGACAAGGGCGCCCCTCTGTCTGCCAGGGCCAGCAGCAGGCCTTGGGGTTACAATGTGAATGCCGCTGTCATCCGCATGAGAGCCAGGGGTGGGAGAAGATTTGCCACCGTGGTCCATGGCTCTGCCAGACTGCCCCAGAGCTGCCAGCCGGCCGTCGCGGCAGCTGAGGCAGCCCCTTCCCCACGTGCTCTTCCAGGGGCTGGCGGCATGGCACAGCCCACCGCTTGTGGGAAGCGCCCCGCGTCTCACAGAGCTGGGGCTTTGTCCAGTCCCAGATAACGGGATGCTCAAATGAAGAGCGCTTCCCCATCTCCTTACTTTAATTTTTAGACATCATCTCTTCCAAAATCCTTGCTTGTGCTCAGTCTTTGCACGCCAGATTAGGTAGCTGTTGTGCAGTTCAGGTGTACACCTACGTTTGTCTTCTTTGCTGGATAGTTCTTGTCTTAAACTTCAATTATCTGAATAATTGCCTCAGTTCGTCAGCCCACCTTTGGCAACGTAACTACAGCCTCACCTGTGCACTTTAGTCGCCTCAAGAGGGGAGCAAGGCTTGAGTGCAATACAGAGAGGCCAGAATGGGACACAGGCAGCTGCCCTACGCTGGGTGTGCTGTGGGCCGCAGCCCGGACCACTGCCCCTTGTCTGGGTCTCCATTACACTGCTGCAGGGCTTCTGGCTCTGCTTACTGCTTTGTAAAATGTTTAGTTCTGAGGATGGAGATCATCTCAAGGTAGAAGCCTCTCCCACGGCAGGTGCACAGCAAACAGTGTGGAGTGAGTGGGAGGTGTCAGGCCAGAGTGCTGGCACTGGTGTTCCAGGTGACCAGGGTCCATCAGCCCTGATAAACACAAGTTTGGCATTGTCAGCAGGTCTCAAGGTCACCCCCACGGCTTTGACATACATGGAAGGGCGCAGAGATGACCCTGCCTTGGTACCCGTAGCTGGAGCCCTCCCAGTGTGGGAATCTGCCTGCCCTAATTTTCATGCTGACAAAAAGGTCTGATTTTTAAAGACCCATATTTGAATCTCCAAGATGAACCCAGCTCTCTCCGGTTGCCAAAGGCATAGATAACCTCAAAGAATGTATTAGTTTTTAGTCTAAAGGTGTAGCAAGATCAGAAAAGCATCCTCATGCTCTGCAGTAAAAGCAAATGACAGTAGATCCAGTGAGTGTGGTGGAAAAGGGGTGAGCCCCTGAACTGTGTGATTTGGAACACGTTATTTAAACTCTCTCAGCCTGTTTGCTCACCTGTAAATGGCCATGTTGATATGGCCGCGGACCGTTGACATAGGGGTCGCATGAGCCTCTGTGGTGATGAAGGAGGACCGCAGAAGTGCTTGGCCAGTGGCCGTCACCAGGCCGCTTGCTTTGACAGCTCAGTCATTCAGCCGCTGAGAGCCCTTATTTCAGCCTTTCTCCTCCCAAGCTTTAGCTGTGCTGCAGAAGCCACCTTTAGAGAGGAGGGTGAGAGGTGCCAGAGTTGACAGGAGATCCTCTGTCCCCAGCAGCCCCTGCTGATGGTCAGCCGTGTAGAGCATGGAGTGTGTTACAGCTGGGAAGCGCTGATGGAAATGCAGTGCGGCCGGCTGTGCTGCCCGTCTCAGTGAGGCGGGGAACGCCTGCGGTCTCTCCTGACACAGGTTCTAGGCAGGTAAAGGCCGTTCTTCATCGGCTCCTGCGTTTGTGAAGCTCTGAGAAATCACAGGCCGCCTGCCAGGCTCCGTGACCTGTGCTGTGCTCGGCCCACCGGGGAGGGAGGAGTGGAGCAAAGGCAGTGCCCGGCCAGAGCCGCTGATGTTGGTCATGTGGACATTTCCGGGGGAGGCGGCCTCCATTGTGAAGCCGAGGTTGCAAAGCAGTGTTCTAGAAGCTCACTAGTCAGAAGGGCCCACCGAGAGCGGCAGTGTCATCTCCTAGGAGCTTGTAGAGTTGCAGAAATGAGGGCACCGTCCCAGACCTTCTGAACCAGAATCCGCATCTTTGAAAACTCCCTAGTAATTCAACACACACTGAAGTGTACACTCCACTGGACCAGGCTCTCCTGTTCCCCGCAGCGTCCTCCTGACCTCGCACAGGCCTGGGATGTGGCGGGGCTCAGAAAATGTCGTTGTCTGATGGTGCATCTGCAGAGGCACTGGTTGCCTTCCTGTTGAGTCGTAGGCACCTGCCCTGCAGCCTTCTTGCCCCCTTGGCTGCCTGGATTTCCAGGAGAGGGAGACACATGTCCTTCCCTGGGTCACGGTCCCAGCCCCATCACCCTGGGCGGTGGCTGTGCTGAGCCTGGACTTCCTGCCTCTGGGTTAGGATGGAGGGTCGGTGTGCACATCCTTTTCTGATATTTTTCTTGAGAGCTGCTGGGCACCTCCCACCCCACAGTGCTTCCTTTCATGTTATACGTGATACCCTCCCGTAGGTCTGTCTTTCCAATCTTATTTCTCCTTTAAAGATTGCTCCTACATGCCTTCAGTTTAAAGTCCTCTTTGTTGGAACCATGGTTTCAGGGTACCTGTACTCCGCACAGGACCCCAGGTCTGGAGCTTTGCTCGACCAAGCTCCAAAATCCGGCACTGGCCTCGGGCTCAGCATGGTCCTGTGGCTCCTGTGAGCCTGCAGGTGAGAGCCTCCTATATTTAACCTGGTCCCCAAATTCAGATGCAGCTGGGATGCTACAACTAACTCTAATTTAAGAGACTGTCCTGGGGAACTATTTAAACAATGGAAAGAGGAAACTCTTCAGTTCATTTCTACATTTCTGGATGCTTCTGTGGTTGGAGGAAAGAGTGGTTGTGGGGCTGATAAAGTTGTTGAGACAAAGTCCTGGGAAGAGAGTCGCTAAGCGCGAGGCAGAACAGAGTCCCAGGCGGGAGAGCGAGCCTGGCTGCCCGTTACTGGCCCATTGGCACGACTGTGCCTGTGGTGGAGGAAGCACGCCTGACTGTAGCTGACCTCCCCCGTCTGATGCCACGTTCCCAGGAGCATTCGATCGCAGGTTGGCTCCTAGAGAGGGGCTTGCACAGAGCAAGGGTAGCAGGCCTGTGATGTGGCCTCCTTTCCAGTGCCCATGACAGGCCTCATGATAACAAATAAGCTCATCAAGACTTAAATGTTGGTGCTACCACTGTTTCCATTTTGTATGGAAGTTGAAAATGTTCTCGATTTCCATCAGCATACAATCACAATCAGAGTTATTGGATCTATTGGTCAATCACTGATTTTTTGTTACGTGAATGAAGAGCATGGTCTCTGTGCGTGCCTCTCCATGTGGGCGGGAAGCATCCACTTGAGAAACAAATCAGATGACTACACACATGCGGCCGGAGCGGCAGAGCCCTTTCGTTTCTAGATGAGCATCCTGAGGCAGAGTCCCAGGAAGCACCCGTCTACCTCACCACACACCACCCCTTCACAGCTGGCAGTCGGCAGCCACTCACAGAACATTCTAACATTGTGATTGTTGAGGGACTGAGGAGGAAGCTTCCAACATTCGTTCACTGCCTCCTCGGCCCTCCCCTAAGCACTTGGGCTACTGGGCCAGCGTCCCCCGGCCTGGGGAGGCAGGGCTCCAGTGCCCAAGCCGGGGAGACAGCCGTCTGGTTTTCCTGCAGTGGTGGAGGCCTGTGGGTGGGAGGAGTGTGAGGTAACAGGAATGTGGCGGCTCCTCACGGGTCTGATGCAGGAGCTGCTGTCACGGGCAGGTGACGGCATCCTGCGATAATGGGCCCCCGTGGATGTGTGCAGCAGAGAGGCATTCTCACTGGGACCGCACCAGTGGGGCCAGCTGCCAGGCCCAACCTTGAATGCCGTGCGACGTGGCTGATTGGAGCTTGTTGAGAAGATCATGACAGCTTCCTCGGCCCTGAGTTTTGCCTCTAGGACCGCGTCACAGAGGACCAGCACTCAGCTTGGGTTCTGCTGGGCCCACGGTCTATCTGCTTGCCACTGTGTTTGTCCAAGTCTAGCAAGCCAGGGTCTCCAGTCTTGGGTGGTAAGTACTGGTTAATGCCGTATATGTGTGGCTCCAACAAGAAGCCGCTGGTCACAGAAGCAGAGATTCAGAGAACAAGATAAAACCGGACTGTTTTTCTTCACCAGGAGGGTCCTTCACAGAAAGTTCCCTTCCTCCTGCAGAGGTAGATGGTAGGGACTCTGAGCTCCTGATGAAATACTCAGAATTCACCACTTGGAAGCAGTTTCTTACTCTTAATACTCTTACTTTGTTGAAACCACCTATCTTTAATGGAAATTTATTTGCCCTGACTTCCAGCATGCACCCTGGGTTTTAGATTATTAAGGCGCGAGGGAGAGAGATGTGTGCCCCCTACCCTGGTCCTCCATCAAGGAGGGGCAGAATGGTCCCTCGCCAGCAGCCTCTTGGGGAGATGTGCCGGGGACTGACGCGTGCGCTGGTGAGCCGCCTGGCAGTCGGTAAGCGATTGCAGAACTCTCGGCTGCCGTGCCCGTCAGCTCAGATTATGGTTCCATGTGTTCTGGACCAGCCTCCACCTGACCTGGATTTCCTGATTTTGAAAATAGAGTTTCTAATACCAACTCAATAGAGTCACAGGGGGACTAAGTGAGGTGCCCTGGGTCTGTTGCTTTGGGGAGGAGCAGAACGATTTCAGCCCAGCCTCAGGCATTATTGGTGCTGTTATTTCTGTATAAGGTTCCAAGTGGAGACACATGGCAGGGAGTGGTTCACCGCGTTCCGATGCCGGGAAACAAAGGTGGTGTACTGTTGCCTCCCGCTGCTTTGTTCGGCTCCTGGCTGTGCAAGCGGATGCAGAACACCGGGGTCCAGGAGGCTGACCTTCAGGTGTTTGGAGCACCCCACGCAGGGCTGTGGAGGGAACAGGACTGGTTGTGCTTTGAGCTGGCACTGCTGAGGAAGCAAATGAATAAGCCATAAAATAGAGCAACACAGCTGAGCCTGGCTGGAGGACACATTTCAAAGGAAATAATCCTGGACTTAGATCACACATTTTGGGGCCTGGAGTGACTTTTTCATAACCTTCCTCTGAAAGACAGGTATTTGTAATGGAAATGCTGGCAGCCCTGCGCCTGGGCCGTCGGCAGGCGGCCGGACGTCCAGCTGCTGCTGACGTGTGAGCTCCCAGACGCAGCAGCCCCCTCACTGCTGAAATTCACGGGGCTGTGTCTCTTGTTTAATGCATCACGATGCTGCCAGCTGCAGACCCTAGTAGTGTGTGCTGAGTGAGGACCTGGTCTGTCCTCCACCCTCACAGGGCTGAGGGGAACTTCCTAACCCAGGCCTGATGGCAGACTGCACGGATGTGGGGACCCGGCCCCCCACTCCAGCCCAGAGGACGCCGGCGTGGTCCTGCCAGGTGCCCTGCTGATCCACAGCCATCTGGTCTGCCTTTACCTGCCTGCTGGGACCTCCTGCCTCTGTAGAGCCCCTGACACCCTCGTCTCCCGTCCTGTCTGAACCCTGTGTGCCTTCCAGACCCTTCCAGGTCCCTTCTCCTCTGGAGGCTTCAGCCTGCCCAGGGCCTCTGTTGACCACTCCTCTGTAAACTGACCCTTGGATGGGGCCTGCCTCTCAGCACTAAACCGTGCACTCACCATCTTTGCTTTTGCTTCCGTTGACCCTCTGTGTGCCTACCTGGCTACAGGTATGTTCAGTGTTCCAGGAGGGCCGTGTTCTGCCTCCTCCCCTCCCCACTCGGGCAGGCAGCCACCCTGGCGTGAGGGCCAAGGGAGGCGGCCAGGCACTCCAGGGAGGTGTCGGGGGCTGACCTACTCTGCTCTGCCGGGAGCCTGAGCCCTCTCCACGGGAAGTCCCTGCAGGCTGGGCAGTGGCTGCGGTGCAAGGGAAGCGGAAGCAAGGGGGGTGCCACTGGCATGCAGGGCATCCCCTTGCTGAGCGTTTCCCAGGACAGCACAGCTTGGCCAAAGTGTGAAAAAGGGAAGTTAGTCTGTGGTGTGCCCCACTCCTTTCATCGTCCGTCACCCCTGCCCTTGGTGGTACCTTCTTGGACACTCCACACCATAGTTGGGCCCTGGCGTAAGACTGTGGGTGGACAGTCCCGACCAAAGTGAGTCCTATCCCAGACCATACACGGGGGACTGACTCCAGGGCCACCTCTGACCCCATGGCACTCTTTTGGGGAGCCACTTTGGAGGGGGTTCCTCATGCCTTGGGGCACCTGCTTGGCCTTGACCTGGCATGACTGCTCTGCCTGGACACACCAGAACTCTGGGTCTCTGGGCCTAAGGCCCCCTGGTCAGCTCAGCCCTTCTAACCTGCGACGTTCAGTCTGTGGTGGGAATGCTGTCTCTACCTCCTGTGCATGGGTGTCATCTAAAGCCCACTCCCCGACATTGCGGAAGGACTATGGGCTGTCCTGTGGATGGCGTCTCGAATCCCAGGAAGTGGTGGGGTCTATTCAGCCTTCTGGACTGCCAGAGACAGTACATTTCTCTCTCTAGTCCTCCTTTTTTCTTTTCTAATTTTCCTATCATGGTGGCAGGGGCAACGTGCAGGCACATGTCAGGTAGCTCTGTGCCATCAGTAAGCACCGGCCTACCTGGGATAGCTGACCAGCAGTAGCATCGTTCCCACCCGACCCCTGCTCCCTGCCCCAGGAGCCACTGCAGACCTCTCTCTGCAGGCCTCTCGGGGAAAGGCTCGCCTGTGCTGGCCTCGTAGGTCACACAGGAAAACCATGGCCAAGGCCCAGATCTTGAAGCAAATTTTAGGAAAACAGGAGCTTCTTTAGAGTGGAGGGACCTTCCATCTCTGAGCCCAGTGAGAAGATATGAACTGGCTGGAGACATCCCTGTATGCTGGGAGCGCACAGCAGTCCTGGCTCTTTCCACCTCTTCAGCGTCAGGCAGGGAAGTGAGTGCGGGGCCATCGCCTGCAGAGCCTCAGGCTTCTTTGTTGCCTCCTGTTCAGAAAGCAGAGCTGAGCTGGGCAGTGACTGTCCTCAGGGCATTTCCCTCTGGGGGCTACACAGAGCTTATGTCCACAGGCTAGAAATTTGGGAATGTGGTGTCTGGAGAGAAACAAGAGGGAGCAGGGATAGAGACTCAGCCGGTCCTGGAAAGCCGGTGGTGTGCTGCCGGGTTCTGCTCCAGCTGCAGTCCAGATCCAGCCGTGTGCAGCCTGTGTCAAGAGGCCGAGCTGGGGACCCACGCCCTGGCATAGATGTCACTGCGGCTGCTGCTTTCCAGCCAGCAGAGCCGACTCGTGCTGGACAGAGACCGTGGGCCAGGCCTGCTGGAGCCCAGGACTTCCGCAGCCGTTTCTGTTGGGTGAGGAGAAAATAAAAAGCAACAGCTTGAGTTCCCTCATGTTTAACTCCATGCTCCCTGAGGTAGGTCCACCAGAGGGCTGCTGGCATTTACTCAATTTCTCCTACTTCTGAAAAGATGAGGGGGAAAGATGGCATTTGACGGATGTGTACGAGCATAATGGCATTGATTTAACCTGTCTTGTGGAGGTGGTCCCAACTGATTGTCACATCACATTTTCTCCCTGCCACACTGAAGATGTAATATCCAGGTCCCTCTGCTCCGTTCTTTCAGTTGCCGAAAGCTCCCCTTTAGGTATGAACTTAGGTTGAGCCAAGCGCAGCCTAACAGGGAAGGGGCTGCATCGTACACCTTGAATGAAGAACTTGCTGGAGATGTGGAAGTCGGGGACATGATGGCTCCTAGATGGTGAATTGACCTTTTATCCAACCTGAGGCCCCACAGACCCCCCGTGTGAGCACAGGCTCCTCCTCAGCCTCCTGGGGCCGCCCAGCACAGCCAGAGACGGAAGGCCGCATTAGCGGCCTAGACACTGATTCCCCGTTCCCACAGGTGCTCACTGGGTCCAGCCTCCATCCCACCTCTCCTGATAAGCACCACCCAGGATCAAACCTTTGCCAGAGCAAACTCTTCCCTGCTATTTTGTGGAACAGGTCGGGAGAAAAGGGAAGGAGTAGTGTCCCGAGTCCTTGCAGAATCACTAGACGTGGGTCAGGTCAGCTCTGGGTCCTGACAGCCTGAGTGGAGCCTCTTCCTGGAAGGAGCATCCATGGCTCCCACTCACCAGGCCTGCTGTCCTGCCACCTGTGGTCCCAGCGGTTAGAAAGTGCGCTCTGGTCACAGGCCTGGACTTCTCCTCCCAGAGTGAGCAGAATCGTGCAGAGCAGGCCAGGAACCTGTTGTTGCAGTGAATGTGGGGCCGCTGGCTGTCGTTTCTTCCCCCCCTCCCTCTGGTCCCTCGCTCTCTGCAGGTCTGCACCTCGCACCCCAGAATGGGCAGCCGGGAAAGGATGGGGGCTACACTGGGGTAGACGCGGTCCCTGGCCCTTGGAAAACACAGCTCTCCAGGAGCCTTTTCCATACAGTCTGCCGATGTCTCTCTGGCCTTCCTTGTGCTGTCACAGCACCATTCTTACTGGATGCCCCATTAGAAAGACCTGACCCATGTGAACACATTGTCCATTTTTAAATGTGGGCGCAGGCTGGGGGAGCGCAGAGAGCTGGACGTAGCCGTGACCGTTGTCTGATGAAGCCTCCCTTCTCCCTTTCTCTCCTAGCTCAACGACCCCGCCAAGCAGCTCATGGAGATGGACAAGCCGTGCCCCGCTGCTGTGTCTGGCAGCCACGCCTCCTTGCCCTCTGACCCTGGCGTGGAGCCCAGTGTCAGCAGCATGGAGGCGGTCAGTGCCTTCCAGCGGCGCGTAGACAGCAAGAAGAATGCCAAGAAACGCCACTCCTTCACGGCGCTCAGCGTGACGCACAAGTCCTCACGGGCCGCCAGCCACAGGCATTCCATGGAAATTAGCGCTCCGGTTTTGATCAGTTCCAGCGATCCCCGGGCCGCGGCCAGAATCGGGGAGCTGGCTCATCTGTCCTGCAGTGCTCCTGCCCAGGTAACATCCTCGAAGTGTGAACAGAGAGGTGCCAGGCCTGCATCCCTGGGGTCTGGGGGCTCCATGCTCAGCGTCCTGTCCCCTAAACTAGCGTGAAGGGGGCCACGGCAGCAGTGCCCTTTGGGTCAGCTGTGGTTCCTTCTCGTGGCCCAGCCTCAGGGACCCCCTAAGCCTTGGGAGGAGGTGTGTCTCCCTGTCACAACCAAGGTAAATATGTGACTGGTACTCTCAGCGTCAGAAGATGATCTAGGTGGTGTGGGAGGTACTTTTCCATGGCCCACAGTGACCTTTGAATTATGTTGGCCCAACACACAAGAGTTATCCCTTCAACCCATCTGACTGTGTCATGGAGAAACTCTTGGTTTGGTGCCAGTGTGCTTTTAGCGTCTCTATAACACTCGCTGACTTCCTTCCCTTTCCACAAATAGAGAAGAGCCAGAGCTCGGAACCGGAATTAACTACGTTGTTTAGTGCTCTTATTATTTGTACAGATTCCTTCTATTTCTAGACATGGCACTGGTTCCATTCCACTAGTAAGATAAAGGAGAGGGGAGGGACCTTTTTCTCAATCAAACAGCCAAAGGCGGCCCTGGAGCCCCCAGGCCTGTGCTCACCCGCAGGGTATCTATCTGGTCTCTATGTCCTGTAACTCGTGTAACAAGTCCAGGGCCCAGGCTCCCTCAGCATCCCCTGGGGCTTCTGAGACAGGAGCGAGCAGGGCCCATGGACATTAGCAGAGATCTCTGGCCTGCGTCCCGTGGGCTCTGTGCGCCTGGGTGTGGGATCTGGTTCTCTCTGCCTCTTTCTCATCCTCCCCATTCTCAGCCCTCCTGCTGCTGTGGCTCTGAGAAAATAGGAGCAGAGGGAGTGTTCCTGGGCTCTGCAGTCTGAGTCTACTGTAGACAGCCTTCAGGACAGGAGGGGAACAGGTTTTTTAAAAACATTTGTGCCCTACTTTTTTCCACAAGGATTTAAGTGCTGAATTAGCTTGTTGTTAGAGATGACTGTTTTCCAGCAGTTACACTGTTTTCCAGCAGTTACACTGTTTTCCAGCAGTTACACTTGAGGTGAAAGTTGTGACCAGGCTCTGGACTTCAGTGAGGGTCATCGAAAAGGGTGAGAGGTCAAGCAAAGTGGTTTCCACCTGTCTCCGTCCTGATTTAACTCAACTCTTGGGAGATGTGGGGGGTGGCATTGAGCGCTCTGAGCTCAGGCAAGCGCCCCATGCTGTGGCCTGTGGGTACCTCATACTCTCTGGTCGGCTGCACCCAGAGACCGCCCCCCAGCTCTCCACCCGCCCTGGCGCTGCCTTCCTGCTTCTCTATCGCTTTGTTGGCCTCGTGCATCCCGCCAGGACGGCCATGCTCTGGCCCACCTGAGGACTTGCCTAGGGTTGCTAAGGTTGTGCCAGGCAGGTCCTGCAGTTGGCCATGGTGCTGCGTGGATCCTCACTGTTGCGCTGGACACGCTCTGGGAGGGGACTCAGTCCCAGGGTTCTGTGCTTGGGGCAACCTTGGGCTTTGTGATCATGCACCTGGAGAAATCCAGCATCATTGCAGGCATGTATTCATCCACAAACCAAGGCCTCCGCATGCCAGGTGACATCGTGGGGATGGGCTCTGGGCTGGCAGAACAGAAGCACTGAGGCTTCTCGGGACCCAAGGGCATGGGGAGATGCTGGCCCCAGCGAGTGTCCAGCCAGCCCCCTCCCACCCAGCAGCCCCTCGAGACTCCGGGCTGTGACACAGAATGTCTTTACCTACAGGATGAATTCTTAGCCCCCATGAGATGAACAAGGCTGGTCGTCTAGCACCAGGCTGGGTCTGCTCACACCTCTGCACCCCTTACCTGCACACCCAGGCCTTTTGGGCTGTGAGGAGCAGAGCTTTTGTAAGACCTCGAGTCATGGGTCCTAGTGAATTTCTTCTGGAGAGCAAGGGTGGCTGTTGTCGCTGACAGTCATTGACCCTTCACTGAACATTGCACGGTGTTCCATAGAAAGTTCCAAGCCGCAGGCCTGTCTGCCCTGCAAGAGCAGCCAGCTGGAGTGGAGAAGAGGCCTTGGGTAAGTGGCTCCAGCTGAGCCCCCTGTGAGCCAGGCTCTGAGGGTGACACACACCTTGTGTGCAGGTGACTACAGATCAGAAAGGGCCACCCAATGTGAGATGATTGTGCTGCTGTTTAATTGACTTGATTCTAAAACCCTGTGGAGGCAGATGAACCAAATGCAAACCAAATACACTCACACCCACAGGAGCATCAGTGTGGGTGATACACTCGGGGGGGGGCCGCGTGTGGATAGGGACCCCTCGGTAGCTGGCTTGCCGTTCATCAACATCACTGCCTCTTCTCGCACTCTTTTGTGTTTCTCCAAAATGAAGAGCTAGTGGGAGCTGTGGTTTCTATGGAAATGGCTCTACAAAACAGTGCCATTTCCCTGCTTCTCAGACAGAATGCAGTGAGCACTATTAAACCTGAAGCCTCGGGGTCCTAGTGCAGGGAGGCACCTCCTGAGAGCCTGGGGTGTGCTGTCCGGCTCGTCTGTGGCTTGCTCCCACAGCCCCGCCCTCATCGCCTCCCCGCTCCTCTGTTGATCTCACCTCTCGTCTGGGCTTCTTGGCACATCTCAGCTTCCTGCCCTGCGTGGCACATCTCACCATCGGGAGAGCCAGGAGGTTTTATTATCTCTGTTCATAGATGAGGAGACTGAGGCCCAGAGGGTGTAAGTAATGTCTCAGCCTGTGCTCGCCCGGAAGCCCTCCCTGCCCCCTGGCTCCCATCAGGAGTGGTGTGGACATGAGTCCAGGACATGGATGTCACTTAACCCTTCAGCTTTCTCTTCTGTAAGATGCAGCAGGCTGACCTCAGGCCAAAGGAGACAAGCAGGAACATGCCAGCCAGTCTCTGCAGAGAGCAGCTGGCACCCTGGAGAGATGGGCCCGCCTCTCCTTCCCCTTCTCTCCTAGTCTGGGACCTTGCACTGGGCAGTGTGGGGCAGAGAGTCTGGGATGAGGTCCTGGCTCCCCTGCCCACTAGCTCTGTCACCCTAGGGGAGTTGCTGAACCTCTCTGAGCCTAGAGAGTTGCCATTAGAGCCGAGTTCAACACCATCCTCGCACCTCTTGACCCTGAGGAAGCTGCCCAGTTTCTTCTCCCAGAGCCTCAGTTTCCTCGCCTGTTAAATGGAGCAACAGCAGTCACATTGTCATGAGGGTGAAGTGAGTGGACACAGGCTGGCCTGTCCTCATCACAGCACATCATTGTTGGCTGTGGTGGTTCTCTCTGCTGCTCAGGGAATCGGAACAAATCACTAGCCCCAAGATGTCAGATGTGACACTCAGGGCTCCAGGTGGCTCTTCTATGCTAAGTCACTGCTCTCTGCTGCAAGATTCTCTCTTTGCTGTGGCGCTGTGCTGGAGCCCGGAGGTTCCAAAGGCTGGTGGTAGACAAGGGGTGGGTGGGGCCGAGGCTGCCTGCCGTCACAACTCCTGTCATGGGAGCCTGGCTTGATTAGTGTCCCCATAAGCCGATGTGCGCCCCCGGCTGTCAGGTGCTCACTGGTCTGTCCCCAGTGATAACCAGGCCAGGGTGGTGTGGTCCAGTCCCCCTGGCTTCCAACATCCACCAGAGAAATCTGAGGACCCCACTTGGAATCCACTGAGGTGAGTTCCAGCCTTGGCTGCACATCATTATCACCTGGTGGATTGAACAAATTCAGATTCCAGGTCCCCCAGCACAGTCCTGGCCTCACAACACTGAGGTGACTGGTCTGCGGTGCGGCCTGGGTCTGGGGACTTTATAGCCCCTCCCCCACCGGGTGGCAAGGCCAGGTCGAGAAGTACCACCCATCTTGGAGAGCAGCAGTGCCCTTCTCTCACACTCTGGCTGTGCCATGGGCCATGCCTGAACCTGGGCCCAAGTCCACATGGGGTGACCAGGGTCCTGGTACACCCAGGACTGAGGGGTTCCCTAGCTAGGCCACAGGACTTCAGTGCTAAAACCAGGTCCAGGCCCAGCGGGACAGTTGGTCACCCTGCAACATTTCTCTTTTGCTCACCAGGCTCCAAAAGGAGGTGTCTGGAGGTTTCCGACAGAATGTGATGTGGTCCCCTGTGCAGCACCTTTGTTGGGTCCCAGAGACCCCAGCGCAGGGAAGGCCTGGTCGCTGCTCCTGAGGGCGACAGTGTAGGAGATGTAAGCGATGGCAGGAGGCACTGCTCCAGGCCTGGGCCGTCGCTCCAGGCTGCCTAAACCCCTGTGAGGTGTGTGTCATGCCACCAGGGAGGCCTGTAAAACTTTGTGAGCCCAGGGCCTACCCCATCAATGAAACCCGAGTCAGAGAGGGAGGGGCGCCATGGATCCGTGGGGCCTGTGAGCAGGGATGCTGTGTAACAAACAGCCAGCGGGGCCTGGGAGCTCTGCGGGGTTTCCCATCCAGGCAGGCTCAGGTCTGCTCCACAGGCCTCATTTTGATGCCCAGGCGGAGGGCAGAGGTTCCCTGGGGCTTGAGATACTTGCCTGGCCTCTCGAGGCCTAGACTTGGGCCCAGCAGTGGGCAGGGGACCACACTGATGTGGTGGAGGAGGGAGGGAACAGTGCCGAAAACCCTGTCCTCTCCTCGGAGCTCTCCAGCGCCCTCTAGGTGATTCTGCTGGGACTGTGTGCTGGGCCTGGGTCGCAAACTGTACAAACAGTTTTTGTACAGCTCTTGCATTAAGAATGACTTTTATATTTTTTAAAGGTTGTTTAAAAAAGGTGGGGGGTGGGGAAGAAGGGTGGCTAGGAGAGGAAGAGGAAGAAGCAACACTGAACCTGAAATACTGCCTCCCCGGCCCTTTACAAACAAGGCTGGAGGCTGCAGCTGTGCCGCTGTGGGCCCTGAAAGGAGGAGCGCGTGGTGGTGAGAGGAAAGGAGGAAACGTGCGGGTGTGTAAGGGCAGCTGAGGCCCAGGCGGGAGGAGGGACTCCAACAGAGGCAGGGAAGAAGGCTTGGACTGCGGG